TCTGCTGAAATCTGTCTACTATAAATGACCCTGCTAGTATTTAAAATATCGGTGGCCTAGCTGCCAGCATTACAACCACATGCAAGCCACCACAGCACAACAAACTGACAGACGAGTGGTAGATACACACATACACACAAATATAAACAAACACATACATAGAGTGAGTGGTCAAACCAAACCCACTGCCATCAAGTTGATTCTGACTCAAAGCAATCTGTTGTAGGGTTCCCAAGACTAAAACTTTACAGAGTAAATAGCCTCATCTTTCTCCCTCAGAGCAGCTGGTGGGTTTAAATCACTGACCTTTTGATTAGCCGCCTAATACCTACCCCACAGCACACCAGGGCTCCTTATATGGCATGATAGATGTGACACATGTTGATAATTAGTAAATTTAGATGAAGTGTATGTGACTTCTTTGTCTTTTAAGTTTTTCATTAATATAAAAAATTCTTATTGGTGAAAGTACACAAAGCAAAACATGCACCAATTCAGCAATTTCTACATGTACAATTCAGTGACATTGAGGACATTCTTCATGTTGTGCAATCAGTCTTGCTATCCTTTTCCAAATTATTCCACCACCATTAACATAAACTCAGAGTTTTCAGTAACTGTAAAAAACACACGAAGCAGAAACCACCCCTCCCACTGTTTGAGAATTCATTGCGATGGCCCCGCAGAACTCAGATACCACAGTCACAGTTATGGGTTTATTAGGGAAATTAACAGGTTAGAAATGCTCAGGGCACAGTTGTTCCAGTCAGGTAGTCTATCTTCAGTCGTGCTCACAGGCAGGTCTCTCTCTGCCTGGCCAATGTCACAAAGCTCTTATAGGGCTGCTGATCAATGCCCACGGGACACACCATCATAACCATAAGCCTCAGCCAGAAGGCACTTGGCCTAACTCCGTGGGTCAGCAAACCCAGCTCCCTCAATGAAGTGCCTGGAGATGCCCCACTCTGTAAGCAGGCCTCATGTCCAAAGCCACTCAGCTTTACTTGCTCAGTGGGCTGGGAAACCTACTGCCGTGTCAAGGGCTCTGACTCTTGGTTCTGCTGCTGCTCCTCTGGTGTCAGTTTTCTGTTCATGGGTTGAGGAGGTTCATTGTGCATGGATCTCGGGGTCCAAAGGAAGTGCTTCCCTCCTGGCTCTTCTTTGATGGTACTGAGATCCCTCTCCTGCTTTTGAGATGCTTCTTGTATACCCAGCTAGAGTTCCACGTTTTTACAATTATGACGAATTCTGTTAACATCCACAGCTGAATCATGTTAACCTTTCACTATCTCCTCCCACCTTCTCTTAGTCACAACTATGAGGAAAAGACTTGTCTAATGGGAGTTACAAAGACTAAGGCTAGAAGAGACTTATTAAGCAATTCACTACATGATAGTAGGTTTTTTTTTTTAAGTTTTTATTTGAAAATTCTTTTTTTTGTGTTTTTTTTTAACCTATTCTTTTTTATAATTATTGTGAATTGAGTAAAGGTTTACAGAGCAAACCATAGTTTTACATTCAACAAATCATACTTTGCTTCATTGAAATGGTTATAATCCCTTCCATGTACCAACAGTTAACAGCATTTACCTCTATTCACTTTAACGATTGCATTCATTCTTCCCTGAATGTCCTGCTACCTTCATCTTTCCTCTGCTACCACCCTCTTGCTGTATAGTGCTTACCCTGTCACCTATGTTAACATGTATCTACCCTCTGTTGTTGTTGTTAAGTGCCATCCAGTTGGTTCTGACTCATGGTAACCTTGTATAGGGTTTCCGAGGAGCAGCGGATGAGTTTGAACCACCGACCTTGTGGTTCAAACCAACCCCGTGAATAATTTTCCCTCCCTCCTCCCACCGTAACCATCATAGATTGTTTCTTTTATCAAGAAAACCTTCTACAACATTGGTCTCATATAATATTTGTTCTTTTTTTCCCCTCTCTTTCTCTCCATTTTTATCTTATATTTCACAAATGAACAAAACAAAAATATTTGGTGCACACATACAAAACAAGTTGTTGTTGTTGTCAGGTGCCATCGAGTCGGAACCAACTCATAGAGACCCCATGCACAGCAGAATGAAACAATGTCCGATCCTGGGCCAACCTCACTACCGCTGCCACATTTGAGTCCATCAATGATGCCACCTGGCCGATCCATCTCGTTAGGGGTCTTCCCCTTTTTCTCTGACCCTCCACCTTACCCAGCATGACATCCTTCTCCAGCGACTGTTCCCTCTGGACAATATGTCCAAAGTATGAGAGACGAAACTTAGCCATCTTGGCCTCCAAGGAGCACTCTGGCTGCACTTCTTCCAAAACAGATGTATTGGTTCTTTTGGCAGTCCATGGCACTTTCAGTATTCTCCTCCAACACCACAACTCAAAGACATCAATTCTTCTACGATCTTCCTTATTCACTGTCCAGCTTTCGCATCCATATGAGGCTATTGAAAGCACCATGGCCTGGGTCAGGCGCAGGTGGAGCTCAGGATTCCACCTAAAGCCACATACTCTACAAAGCCTTAATCAGAAGCCTATTTCTCTGGGCAAATTCTAACCCCTTTTTAGCAAATCCAATCAGTTATAGGCTGGGCTTACAAGCTTTCTATAATCATAATTCCCAATATTCATTTCTATCACACATGAATGTCTATTTTTACAATAGTAGGCAGGAAATTGCAATGGAAATCCAATATGCTCTGTAAACTTTCACCCAAACCAAAATTAAAAATTATTAAAAAAAGAATTTTTCAATATTAAAAGTAAAAATAGATATTAAATGTTTGAATAAGGATTTCATAAATGATGAAATCCCTTTAAGAGCTTCAAAGGGGAATTTTGTTCATTCATTCAACAAATGACTGCATGCCCTTTATGGAGCAGACTTGGAAGAGTTGGGGTGTGTGGGGCGTTCCTGAAAGGAATGCTGAGTTTGCTTCTTAAAGAATCCTCAGGCTCTAGCCAGAGACCAGTTCCTAGTAGATGTTCCCCCACGGGACTGCTGAATGCAGTGAGGGAGAGGCAGGAGAAAAGGCGTTGCTATTATGACCAAGAAAAAGCACTTGAGGAAGACTCAATATATATTTGCTGACCCAGTGAGAAAAGAGATGCTGACCACAGCAAGCGGTGTTATAGTCGACCTAGCATAGGACTTCCTCTCAGCATAACTAGATACTAGAAAAGCAACTAGGAACACTGGAAAGTGTCATTTTAAATAGTAGGTCCATCTGTCCTGGAGGAATTAAAGTGAGGCAGGGTTATGACTTGGATGGCCCCCTGGGGGCCCCTCCCAGCTCCAGGATTCTATGATTCTATGACATGGCCAGCAGTCTGGAGTGGGGCATGAGGGTATCCCCAGTGGAGCGCATGAGGAGGTCTAAGTCATCTACCTCCTAAAAGAGTGAGAGGGGAAAGGGCACAGCCTGGGGAGGGCAGGGGAGGGCAGGGCAGAGCAGGCGCTGTGAGTTCAGCCCTCCCTCACCTCCTAACTTTCCAGAGATGGAGACAGGGTGGGGTCAGACCTAGGAGGAAAAAGGCAAGGGTCCTGACATTCCACCTTATTCAGATCCAAAGGACAGGGGCAGCTGTGGGGCCACTGGCTGGGAGGGAAACGGGCAGCTGTTTTCTGGGTGGGACCAGCTCAAATACCGCTCTGTTCTCACCAGCAGAAGTGGAAAATTAGCATCAACTGGCAGTAATGGGGAGAGAAACCAGAGCCCTCATTCGGACTGGGAGGCAAAGGGACTTTAGGGAGCAGAGGGACAGTGGGCACAGGGACTGGGCAAGTCTTTAACTTGATAAGGCCCTAAGCCTCCATGAAGTGCCCACTTTTGGACCAGGAGAAGTGGGGGCCCCAACACCCCTTCCTCTTGTGGGGTGGGCCGGGAGATCTTCCATGGTCAGAGAGGTTCTAATTTTACAAATTCAGCCCCATCAGCAGACTGGTTGTACAATCTGCCCTCTACCTCCTTTGTTTCCAAAATCAGGATGAATTTAGATAGAGGACTAGCAAGGGTCTTCCCCCACATCTTGCGTCTCCCCATCCAGCCAGAAGATCAGAGTGGTGAAAAGCCAACCTAGACTGTGAGGGGCATCAAAGTCACCCCAACAACATAGACACCCTGAGATGGTCCCCTGGCCCTATTATTTAAAAGCTGTGTGATCTTAGGCAAGTCTTGCCATCTCTCCAAGCCTCAGTTTCCCCATCTGTCAACTGGGAATCAAATAGTAACTACCTCTTTGATTTATAGTGAAAATTAAGTAAGATGAGCCATATAAAACACATAGCAAAGGGCCAGGGACACAATGAGGAGGGCAATAGGGTAGTGTGTTGATTCTAAAACATATTTTTAAATACAAGAGTGCATTGTGCAGTTGATTGGGTCTTGTAGTTTTCTTGGCCACACATAAAATAGCATTATATTTTACAATATGTTTTACTTAGCTTTGATAAAATACTGGCCCAGGATAAAATACAGGCAGTGTTTTGTTCTGCTGTGCATAAGGTTGCTATGGGTCGGTACCGACTCAATGGCGCCTAACAACAACAACATTCACTATTTGATTTAACCTCTAAAAAAAATCTCTCTTGGTGCTTGAAATTTCACCATTAGAATATCCCAGTTTCACCGTTGGGACCTTCTGAAGTCTCTGTCTAACTATGAGTGGGAATTTCAGCACGTGGGCTGGAGAGAAAGGATAGAGGAGACTGATCAACTTTTTCTGGGCATTGGTTGTTCTGAAGGCCTAGTTTCCCTTCCCTTTTCTCTTTGGACTTTCTGAAGACTGGCATGTTAGTTTCCCAGATTGAAAATTTCAGGGTCTGGGTGTAGGAAGGGGAGAGCATGGCTGGAGGTGCTACATCTCTGGGAGCAGAGGATACCTGGAGAGAAAGCCTTGGGTGGGAGTAGAGGGGTATGTCAGCAGGGATCCCAAGTGAACTGATGCTCCTTTCTCTTCACCAAACACAGGTAACCAATTTCCAGGTGTGCATAATGTCTGGGCGTCATGTGGGCCGTTCTAACACTTACAGCCGTCCAATCCATCCCAACAATGTGTCCTTTCCACCCCGGACTTCCGGCTGGATCCACTGCCCCAGCCTCAATGGGACCAACAGTCTCAAGCGCACCGGCACACCAAGTGGCTCCGAGTTCAGCAGTTGCAGCAGCTCCTCAGAGTGCAAGTCTCGCCTCAGCTCTCCCAAATTCCCATTGGGAAGGATCTGCATGGGCCGGCCCTACAATTCCAAGTGTGTGGAGACAAGTCATCTGGCCAACCGCCCCAAGGTGGCCAGAAAGCCGGCCAGCCGTGGCAGCCCCAACTGCCTGCTTTGTACAGATCGAGCATGTAGCCCGTCCAACCCCACTTTCCTGGACCAACTCATCAAAGGCATTAACTATCTTGACCGGTCCACCAATTCCTTCTACACCCTCTGCCCCAAAACAGCATTGAGCCTACCAAGGCTTGCAGCCAATTACCTGGAACGAGCCACCAACTCCCTCCACATGGACCAACTGGACCACTCTTCCCAACACACTTACTCCAATCCCAGCACCATCATGGCCACCCACAACCAGACCAGCACTTCCATGCTGCCATCAAGCAGCAGGGCTAGGGCTGGTACTCTACAGTACATGGACGATGCCACCAATGTGGGTTACACACGCCGGCTCAATAGCCAAAGCCCCTCTCCCATGCTCTTGCAGAAGCCGGTGCTGAAGTTGCCTGAGCTCCCCTTGTTTGGCAATGGGATTTTTTCCCTAGGTCGTCTGCCCAAGTTGTGGGAGGCAATCCGTTCAGGTTGGAGTGTCCCTGAACCCATCTCCAAACCTTCTAATTGGTGGTGACACCAATGCCAATTATAAAATGGAAAATAAATTGTCTGTGGCAGACTGCTGCTAACAAGACTCAGTTGGAGGGAAACAGTCATTTAGACTAGGGGTTACAAACCCAAGGGCCTGTAGAGTCAGGTAGGTAAAAGGTCAGCGAGTGAATTGGACTGGGTGGTGGCAACAGGGAAGGGTGGGGACTGTGGCTAAGCAGAGAAGGAATAACTAGTCTAAAGACAGCAGCCATTACCCTGCTCTCAAGTGTGCTGCAGGCCGGCCTCTTCAAGAGAAGCTAGGGATCCAGAGTTTTATGTTAGCAATGAATTTAAAAATGGCAAGGGTGCTCTATGGCCAAATGTAAAGCCCATAGATTTCAGGTTGAAATTGCTGACTTTTATGTTGAATGGAAAACTCAGGAGGTTCCTAGCTTCCCTTAGCCTCAGCTTCCCATGCAAGGAAATACAGTGGCTGTATATTCCCAATCCCTGACCACACTCATCTATTTTCTTTTTTTTTGATTGTTGATGATCTTAGCACAGTACCATGGAGGCAGAAAGGTAGAAGTAATAAGGATAGCCAGGCAGTGTTCTTTATATATATTTTTATTCTTTTAAAGATGTAGGGTATAGGGTTGTTGTTGTTAAGTTCCATCGAGTAGATTCCGACCCATAGTGACCCTGTATACGGTTTCCAAGGAGCAGCTGGTGAACTTGAACTGTCGACCTTCCAGTTCAAATGGCTTTGCAGTCTGGTGCATTAACCCACCAGGGCTTAGGGTAGACCTAAGGAAAAGATTTTTGGGAGTCTAGTGTGAAAACCAGGAGTCCGGGTGTGGCACTGCAGGAGAATGCCCTGGATCCCAAGGTCAGTTTGAACCACAAGGTCAGCAGTTCAAATCCACAGGCAGCTCCTCAGAAATCCTATACAGGGTCACTATGAGTCACAACCTACTCGATGGCATTTAACAACATCAGAATGAGAGCTAAGGAGTTCCTTTGGCAAGACAGTGAAACAAAGTTCAGCATTTGAATCCATTCCGTAATGTCCTAAGGCAAAGACCTGGTGACCTGCTTTCCTAAAGATTACAACCTAGGAAGTCCCGAACAGGGAGTTGTTATGAGTTGGAAATCCTTGACAGTATACCACAATGTAAGGGGTGCTGGAGGTGGAAAGAGGGTCCTTCCTGGGTCATCTCTGAAGACAATGGTTCTGTCTGGACAAAGGTATGAGCTGGGAAAGGTCTAAATGAGGTGGCTCCTTTTTCTCACTCCTTTTTCTCTTCTCTCTGGGAATGTCTGGGAAAATGTTCCTGGAGCCTCCTTCGGAGTCCAGGTACTGGCAGATCAGGCCTACAAGCCACCTACAAACATCCATCATCCTGCCCAACTCTGTCACCACCAACTTGCCTTGAGACCTTGGGCATGTCGCTCTTCTTTCCAGGCCTCAGTTTCCCCACCTGAAACACGAGTTGGGTAGCTGTAATAATCTCCAAGGGCCCTCAAAAATTTTTTTTAAAAACCTGTTGCCATGGAGTCGATTCCAATTCAGGGTGATCCAATGTGTTACAGAGTAGAACTGAGTTCCATAGCCTTCCCTGCGTAAGCACTGGACTGCTAAGGTTGGCAGGGTCACTATGAGTTGAAACCCACACAATGGCACTTAACAACAACAACAAATCTTTACAGAAGTAGATTGCTGGGTTTTTAATTCCTTGGTGCCACCTTCTGATTGGTTACTGTTGTTATTAAGTGCCATCAAGTAGGTTCTGACGCATAGCTATTCTGTATAGGGTTTCTGAGGAGCAGCTGGTGGGCTTGAACCACCAGCCTTGCAGTTCAAACTGATTTTGCAGTGCAGTGCTTATTCTACAGTGCCACACTGTTTGTATTATACAGAGACCGTCAAAGGGCCCTCTAGACTCTGAAATTTCTTACTCTCTCTTCCTGAATCCAGGCGAGGCCTGGAGCTTCCTGTGGGGAGAATTGAGAGAATCCCCACGCAAGAACTCAGGCCTGAGTCCTGAACTACCCTGCCTAGCTGCTTCAGGTCCGTGTCTGTGTGACTACTAACTTCAGACCCAGTCCCTTAGTGGTAGAACCACCTCATCTCCTTGGTGATGGAAGGGTCAGTCAATAGCAGCTCAGAAGAGTCAGTGTGGAATGAATAATGTAGAATCTGGATGCCTACAAGGTTCCACGGTGCTTGGAGGCAGTGACCTACTGGGATCTGGTCCCAGGACCAAGCAGAAAAGTTGGCAAGCCTGAAGATCCCCAATGTGAGACTGCCGTGGTGGCCCCCGGAGAGAAGATGGGATGCGCCCCTAGAGATCACCCTCACTCCATCCACTTTTGTCTCTGAGAACAAGGGGGCTTCTCTCTGAGTCACAGCCCAGCAGTGCAACACACTCTACCTTGGTCCATAGTGGGTGCTCAACAGAGGTTTGCCCTATTGGTTGGAGGTTGGATTGTACCCTTTAGGGACAGAATCTCTGCCCTTTAACTGCTACTTGGGATGGATACTCACTGCCCATGAATCCCTTCCACAAGTCCTTCAGCACAAGTCCAGAGAGACAAATTCATTGGTTAGAGAAGATTTTCTGCTCCCTGTGGTCATGTGTAGGCCACAGGAAGTCCTCACTGTCCACACTTCAAGCTGTGGGGTGCATGTAAACAGGGAGCAGCATGCTGGCTGCAGAACAATGCCACCACCTGCTGTACTGTCCACCTTGTATACAGAGGAGGCCCAGGTGTCCCTGTAACTGCTGGGGAGTGCGGAGGGGGAGGCTGAGGAAGACTCTTCACGCCTAAGGAAGGACACCATTCTTTACTGAGTGCTCACGCTGTGTGCCTGGACACCTGCTGTGGTGCTGTAGGATCAGCCCTAGACTGCAAACCACAGGATCAGTGGTTCAAACCCACCAGTTGCTCCTTGGAAACCCTATATAGGATTGCTATGAGTTAGAACCGACTTGATGGCACTTAATAACAATATACTGTGTGCCAGACATCCTGCCAAGGCTTAAAATCTAGGCTCTCAACAGTCTCCACCCTGCAAGACTAGGTTTTAGAACCCAATTTTATAGAGGGGAAAACTGAGACTCATAGAAAGTGACTTGCCCAGACTACAACTCTTGGTAATTAGCAGAGCTGGAGTTCAAAACCCCAGGGTTCTGACTCTCAACCAATACTCTTTCCAGGTTTCTTAGTATTTATTGAATGGATTCCGTAAGAAAGAGGAACTCATCTAGGCCTCCAAAATGCACAGTAAATTAGATAAAACAAGAATGGTGTTTAACTTGAGGGTTTAGGCTGCCCTTTAGACAGGTGTTTAAACAGGGAAGGGTGAACCTGGAATTATTATCTTTCCAATAAATAGTAAACAAAGGAAGACAATTTGCTCAAAGGCTGCCCGTAGTCTCAATTATCCAATCTAATAGTCTCTGCATCATTTGGTAGCACTGGGTATAACAAACCCCATGTTTGTCAGAGTAGGGTTTTGTTGGCTTGGGTCTTTTGAAAATAAATTCTAGGCCTTTCTTCTGAGATGCTTTTGGGTGGTTTTGAACTGCTAATCTTTTATGGTTAGTAGCTGAATGTTTAACCATTTGTACCATCCAGGAGAACCATCATTGGCATTGTTGGGTATACATGTGCGATATTAAAGAACTTTGTGTACATGTAAAAAAAAAAAATCTGGTGTGGTCCTTTGCTTTCACTATTTTATGATCCTAGAATATATATGAAGCTTTTTGTATTATCAAGGTGCATGTATGATAGATGGAGCTCTCATGGTGAAATGGTTAAGCACTCAGCTACTAAGTGGAATAGTGGTGGTTCAAATCTACCCCACAGCTTCGTGGGAGAAAGACCTAGTGATCTGCTTCTATACAAATGACAGTCAAAAAACAAAACAAAACAAAAAAACCCAACTCTGTGGGCAGGTCTTCTCTGTTACATGGATTGCTCCTTCGGAGTCCAGGTACTGGCAGATCAGGCCTACAAGCCACCTACAAACATCCATCATCCTGCCCAACTCTGTCACCACCAACTTGCCTTGAGACCTTAACAACAACAACAACATGTGAGACAGACACACTCTTCCTATTCCTGACACCTTGCCTTTTCCCTTTCCTCATCCCTGAACCTAACCCTCTAAACCTTAGGCCACCCTGTCCCTCACCCCATCCCCTGTCCCACTTTATCCCACATGCCTTTCCTGTCTGCCTATGACTGGTCCTGCTTACTCCATATAGAAAACATAAAGCTAGGAGTGAATGGCACACCCCCACATACCAAAGTGCTTCCACACAGCTCTCATTTAAGCTGAAGTCTACAGGAGGGGCTAAGAGCCTCCGACATGGACCATGCCTGAGTTGGTACCATCAATTTTGGCAAACTCTTTAATAGCCTACTGGGCCCCTCCCAGCAGGGCAGGAATTTCTCTTGAACAATTGAACAAAGCCGGGAACTCGAGGGAGAAGGCACAGGACATTCCAAAAGGATTTCTCTCAAGTACCAAAAGACAACATGTGGGAAAATTGTAGAAGGCTCATAAGCAAGCAAAGAAAGCCATGAAAGGGACGGAAAATCTGCCGAGGAGGAGAAGGAAGGGCAGTGCAGGCAGGAGGAAGGAACAGGGGCTGGGGGTCAGAGGTCTAGGTGGTAGGCTGGTCTCTGCCACTTGTGAACCTGTGGAGGCTACTCCACCTCCCTGGTCCTTAACAACAGAGGGAGCCACAAAGGTGTATGGACACATGCCCATATGTAGCTGTTCATAGCGGTGCTTGATTAGTAACAAAGATCTGGAAACAGCTCAGCTATATATCTGGAAATTGCTCAAATACCCAACAATAGGATAGGACTAATGAACTGTGTGGTCTGTTGATAAGACTCAATACTGACTAATTAAAAATACATCACTCCTTGGTCTTTTGGCTCAGATCAAGTGTAGATGTGTTGTGTTGTTAGCTGTGACAAGTTGGCCTCCAACTTGTGGTGACCCTGTTAAAGTAGTTTTAA